ATGACAAAGATATAGATATAAACCCAGTGAATGAATCAGAAATTACAATGGGAATAAAAATGTTAAAATTAGAGAAGAGTCCAGGACCGGACAGAATAACAAACAAGCCAATAAAATAGTTGGTACTTATCTAGTAATCCCTCTGACACATCTATTAATTTGATTTTAAGTTCTTCTATAACACCCCCATAGTGGTTCGAGTCAAATATCATTCTATTGTTCAAAAAAGGTGATCCAAAGAACATAGTCAATTATCGACCAATTAGACTTCTTCCTTCACTTTATAAATTATTCTCATCAGTAATACAGAAGAGAATCAGGAATACACTGGAAAAAAGTCAACCGATCGAGCAAGCTGGGTTTCGAAAGAGCTACTCCACAATGGACCACATCCACTCTTTGGAATTTCTTATTGAAAAATATCAGGAATATCAACGTCCACTCTACATAGCGTTTGTAGACTACCAGAAAGCTTTCGATACAATACTACATCTCGCAATATGGAAAGCTTTACAAGCACAAAAAGTGGGAAAAAAATACGTCCAAGTCTTGAAATACCTTTACGAGAGCAACACTAGTAGAGTGAAACTAGAGACCGCAGGACCACCTATTCATATCAAAAGAGGAGTACGGCAAGGCGATCCTCTGTCGCCTTTAATCTTTATAGCAGTACTAGAATCGATTATCGGAAAACTAAATTGGGATAAAATAGGTATATGCATAAAAGGGAAACATATTTGCCACTTGAGGTTCGCCGACGATATTGTCCTTCTATCAGAAAATAGCATAGAGCTAGAATCAATGTTACACATATTACAACAAGCAAGTAGAGAGTTAGGACTAGAAATTAACCTGAGAAAAACAAAACTCATGACAAATTCCTCAAAAAACTCTATATGTCTTTACAACACGCCAGTAAAGTACGTGGAGAACTATATCTACTTAGGCAAACAAATTTCGTTTCAAAAACAAAATAATGATACAGAAATTGATAGAAGAATAATAAAGACATGGAAAAAATTTTGCAGTCTTAAGGAAGTTCTAAAAAGTCAGATGCCAATGAAAGTCAAGAGCAAAGTCATAAACTCATGTCTTTTGCCAACATTAACCTACGCATGCCAAACTTGGAAGTTCACACGAAGAGTCAAAAAAAAAACACCTCTTGCCAGCGAAGCATGCAAAGAAGCGTCACAAAAATTAAAAAAGTCAAAAAATTCGTCACACTATCATCAGGCAAAAGACAAGAGTAACAGATGCCCTCACACACGCTCTAAAGTTAAAATGGAGGTGGGCAGGACACGTAGCGAGAATGAACGACGAGCGATGGACAATTCGCATGACGTCATGGCCAGGTCCTACAGGCACTCGGAAAAGAGGAAGACCTATATATAGATGGGCAGACGACATCACCCGAGTCGCAGGCAAAAACTGGATGTCGGAAGCCAAAGACCGAGACCGCTGGCGTTCTCTGGAGGAGACCTTCACCCTCACTACTTGAGGGGTTTATGCATCGTATTTTTTTAATCTTAAATCTTTATTCTATTTTAAATCTATAATTTTATTTTCATTTTATACTATTTTTTAATTATATTGAAAACCAAAAATTGTATGTATATTAAAAGAAATGAATGATTTCTAACAAGTACATTTAATATTTTATTTGATTTAATTTTAATTTAAATAAATTTTCGGGAAATAGATTAAATAGGGCCCTGCACTCTATTGTGAAGAGTCAAAATATGTCAAAAAGGCACGTAAGGTAATTCACAATGCTGTGTTGGTCCCTACTTTAACGTATGGTAGTGAAAGTTGGGTGTGCCAGAAGAAGCACGAGAGTAGAATCAACGCAGTAGAAATGCGGTCCTTAAGGAGTATGTTAGAGTTGAATCTGAACGACAGGGTAAGAAATTGTGTAATAAGAGAAGAGTGTGGTTTGCAAGATGATGTTGTGACCAGGATTAAGAAAGGAATGCTTCGGTGATTTGGTCATGTTGAAAGAATGAATGAGGAAAGAGTGACAAAGAAAATTTATGTTGCAAAAGTGAATGGCAGAGTCGGAAAGGGACGTCCTAGGCGAAAATTTATCGTCCAAATTGGCGATTTATTGAAAACGGCCCAAATTAGGAGTACCCTTAACCGACAAGCATGTATGCGTAGGTGTATGGACGTGAAGGAGGCGAGAGAGGTGTGTCAGGATCGTGCCAAATGGAAGTCTGTAGTCTCTGCTTACCCCTCTGGGTGACAGGCGTGAGTGTTTATGGTATGGTTACAGGCAACAACATTTTTGCCTACCGATGGACCCTTATGAATGTGTGCGTGCGTAGTAAAATCAGTGAAATAATGCATAGCCACGCAATATGTATTTAAAAGAAAAAAGGACAGATGATGTTTGAGATTTTTTAAATTACCTTTTTTTAAAATAAAAAAGAAGTATTTATTTTCTCCCACATATTATTAGTATATTACAATAAACTAAGTAACAGTAAACTTATGCAGCTAAATAACAGCTATAAATACTAACTAACTCAGAATACAGAAAGAACCAGAAGCCGCGTTCAACTGTATTTACATGCCGCGCACTGTGTCCAAAAACAAAACGAACGTCCCGCGCCCGTCCCACTTCCCACCCGCGTAATATTGCTAGCTCAGAAAGTATTTATAATATTTACCACTTTTTGGGGTAAACGTTAGAGGTAAATTAATAATGATAAAATTATTATTATCCATTCCATATTGTATTAATATTATATACATAATAATCTCAAGAAATAAAAGTAACTACATTAAATAAAACAAGGTTTGAGAAAGGAACCAAAACATTTAATTTCCTTTTTGATGAGTAAGCTTTTTAAAATATTGTCGTCTAGAATTAGAACTAATCAGGAGAGATTTACATTTAGATAAATAATGAAATCTTATATCTAGATATTTTTCAATCACAGCCCTTATGAGATTGTTTCTGTGGCTTAGACCATTTATATGACTATCCTCAATCGGAAAAATGCTATTTTTTCCAATGAAGTCCTTGTAAATTGAAATGACGATAGCTAAACGTTGAAAGTTTGAACTTATTACGATATCTTCGTTTGAAATTCTCCGGACATGCGCTTCACAAATACAACATATGTCATAAATACTCTGGGAAGGGAAGCAAAGACCACCTCTATTTTTTAAACCGATCAGTTTGTGAAACCATTGGACATCAGATGCTAACATTGCTTCTATACAAAATTGACATTTTATGTGCTTTATTAGATAATGAGCTACACAACCCGATATATAACCTACGATATATTTTGACAAATCTTGTAGCTGAGGCAAATCAGAAGACAATAATTTTGCGATACTGCCCCCATTTTCTTCAATAGGTGATGTTGAATTTTGATTAAATAGCTGATCGTTATCTTCGTATCTTTGCGAGTGTGCTGAGAAGTTAATTGCTTTAGTAGACGATGAACAACTTAATATGCCTATGTTTTCAAGGGGTATACAATTGCCGCTATCGGAGGCTTTAAGTTCTAGATGACATAATATTTTTCGATAAATACCTTTAAATTGTTTTGCATTAGGGTTGTCATTGTGGCCCCCGTGCATTCGTATCATTCCAAAGAGTAGTTCTAAATGGTCCTGGCTGCATTTATATGTTGGTATAAATACAAGCATATTGTTGGTCTCGACTAAACTCTCATATAGTGATTGCAGACTCTCAATACATATTAGAATACCAAGAAAACCAGTTTTGCACGCACATTCTAACACCGGTTTATAACTTTTTATTATAACTTCCACGTGTCTTTCATCTTTCTTAATTTTTCTTTTAGTAGTATTTTTAATTTTTAACCCACGAATATACGTTTTCATTAAATCTAGAAAATTAAATATCATTTCTTTATTGCGCTTGTTCAATGGTTGCTTATAATCAAATTGTTTCATATTACGGGAGTTAAATATATCAAAGAGGTCATTCATGTTTTGTACAAACGTTTCAGTTGCTTTTGAATTTTTAAATGCAAACAATTTTGCATCCTCTCGACAAAATTTTAACGCTGTTGCGACACTTTTACTTAAAACTTGACTAGCAAGTTTAACTTTCATAATATTGTTACGGAACATAATATGCCTACGTGTAAGCTTATTTGCAATATGAAGTCCTTCATTTTCTTGGAGTTTGTTTAATTCACATAACAGATTCCAATTGATTTCTTCATCGTTTTTATCTTGGATATATTTTTTAGATTCGAAGTGGTTTCTTATAAGTTTAAACATGTGAACGGGGTCTAAGAAAACAGCTATATTAGACTTGTCTACGGGGTGTTTAAAAGTGGTCCTCAATTCATTTTTAATGTCTATTTTACACCCTAGTAATTTCATTGCCGTTATGTTTGTTGCATGCCCATCAAACGTTAAAGATACTACTTTAACCCCAGCATCATGGCATTTGATGAGGCATAATTTAATTAAATTAACTTTTTGTTCTGCATTTAAACCATGCACCAAAAAATATCCCAGAGGCAATTTAAAATTGTCATTAATTCCATTTAATAATAGAACGTACGCCTCAGATGCTAAGGTTTTGCACTCTTCAGAATTAGCGGTCCCCATATCGACATATCCACAATTTTTTTTCCCATCCCACAAACTTTGTTGTCTGATGGACATCTCATCAACAATTAGCGAACAGATAATGTTACGCATGGAAGAAGAAGCTTTCTCCTTTAAAGCTATAAACGATTCATCTGAGAATCCAGGCTCTCCGCTTACATTGGAGTACCATTTAGACAACGTTTTCGGGTGTGGAAGGCACGTGTCAAAAGTAGCCCTTACATACCTATAGGCAGTCGGTGAAAGAAAATTTAATGTCAGACAAAACTTTTTTTATGGTGGCATTGTACTTTGGTTTCTTTTTTCTCAGGACGCATTTTTTATAAAGATTATTAAAAATATCAGCTGCTACAATATTTGACGAAAGTAGGTCATAAATATCATCGTTGACATAGCGATTATTTTTCAAATTCGTTAGGACACTTTTTAAAGATTCGTTCTTTTTTTACAAGACGTTTATTTTTTTGTTGTAATGTTTTAATTCGCCGGACATGTGTCTTACAAATTAATTTTTTGCTGCGTAATTGGGATCTTAGTTTCGCTTTTTTCGGCGTATCAAATATATAGTCTAAATCAGAAATATTCACATCACCAATCTCTGAGTTTGATTGAACAGGCGAAGCCTGAAATCAAAAATCTTAGTTTATTATTCATATCATGTAATATTAGAAGGTCCAGCAATAAAGAAGGACAAAGAACGCATTCACTCGGAAATATTAATAAATGTAAATAAATCGGTAATGGTGTTATACTAAAACTAACTCCATCCAAAGCTTGTAAAAAAATAGGTAATGATAATATACGTACATTTTTAGATGTTTCAATGCATAACTCTGACGCTGTTGTTGCCATGGCCAAATGCTGAAATATTATATTATTATTATTTCATTTTAAATTACTCATAATATTGTACGAGTTTTCCGCCCGTGGCTGCCAAGTGAGATAAAATATAATTAATGTAAATATAATGAAACTATAATTATCTACCTTATTTGGAAAAGCTCCCTTCCTAAGCCTTCTGAAACCTCGCTTTGTTTCATAAAAATATTTGTCATCAAAATGCATTGAGCAAACTACGCTTCGCTTTGACGGTTTCCAAAACTCTTCTAGCCGTGCTCTTTGTATAATTTTAGTCCACTCCGTTTTCCTTTTTTCATCAGCAGGGAAACTAAAATTTATCAAATATCTATAATATTATAACAATATGGAATTAATTGCAAAAATAAACAGTATTCTCGCGAGGGGAAATGTCCGTATATTATTATTTTGTTGAAAAAGTTCACTTTAAGCGATTTTAAAAAAATAATAATACTAAATACCTTATCAAGATACTATCTACACATATATGTGTGTGTATGTAGACAGTATATATATATATATATATATATATATATATATATATATATATATATATATATATATATATATATATATATATATACACTGTCTTTATCTATATATCTATTGTCTACATATATAAACTTATATTAAAGCTCAGTTAGATATTAGAATTACCAACGCTAGTAATAAAATATTAACGCCAACATAACAAAGTAGTTAAATTATTTCTAGTAAATTATATTAATACTGTTTAATATCACAACTATATGGCCTTTAATAATTAAAAGTAGGGAAAAACAAAACTGTTATACTGGCAACACTTACAAGATTGACGCATCATTCTCTAATACAATTACGAACAAAATAAATAATTCAATTCATAAATAAAACGTTATCTGAATGAGCTACTTACACATGAAATGTGATCCCATCCTTTTTCTTCTGGAGCCCAACAACATTTTTACAGGTAGGAATGGCACAAGACGGCATAATTTAATTAAATTTCACACTTGCAAAACACGTCACACCATACGACGTTCACAGAGTGACTATTCGCCTGAACGTGAAAGTACACCATTTTGGAGTAGTTTTCGTTGCCTCAGTTTTAAGCGCGTTTGCGGCTTCTGGTTCTTTCTGTATTCTGAGCTAACTAAATATGATCTAGGTGGGACACTGGTGCCCAAACTAGGTTGCCCTGTGCTATGGAATCACTAGGCCCCTCCGTCAACAGAAGTGATATTGCTGTAACCCTTAATAAATATTACGACTACTTGTAAACAAAAGTACATTAAAATAGACTTGTTCAGTTTGGAGAAACTGTTAATTATTAAAATATATTAGGTGTACATAAAAAGAAAAACCTGTTTTAAATACTAATAAAAGTAGGTAGGTAGGTAGGTCTATTAAGTGATATTAATGTGTAGGTTGTGTGTATGTGTGTGGTGCGTAAGTTGTACTATATATTTAAAAAATACGTTCAAATAGTTTTTCTGTCTGTTCGTATTCTAATGATTGAAGCCATTCAGTTAAAGAATTTTTTATCTCTCTCTTATTTAACGGATATATATTTAATAATTTGTTTGCTAGATTATATTGGACTGGACCTCTGTAATTAAGAAATCTTCGAGCAAATAATAAATTGGTAACCAGTACAGTGCATATATGATGCGGAAGTCTTTTGCTTGATATAGGATTGGATTTATTATATTCCGTTTTTGAGTGATTTAATAATATTGTCGCAAGAATACAGAACTGACGTACGGTGAGCAAGTCACATAATTTGTAGAGTTTGTTTGTTGAAAATAATCTGCGTTTTTTAAAAGATATGTTAAGTATTAGTCTTTGTGCACGTTATAACCTAATCATATGGATTCTTGCTGCACCCGCCCCCCCAAGACGTTACGCTATAGTTAATAATAGACTGACATAAGGCAGTGTAAACGAATTTTATGATATTGGCATCAGCAAGATGACAAAGCTGCTTAAAAATATATGTTAGTTTACGGACTCTGGATGAAATATGGTTTATATGCTCTTCGAAGGAGAATCTCTTATCAAACGACATCGAATAACATGTACAGGAGCTAAGAGGTGGTATATTGTATAGCAATCATGAATATATAAGTTTAAATTCTCTTGGCCTTTTAATGCTGGTGTGCTGATAAAAAGGGGAATGTATTTAGTTTTAGTTGCGTTTAAAGATAGAAAATGTGTATATAGCCATTGTTGTACTGTATTTAGGCCAATTTGTGCAACAGAATAAACTTCTTTCCAAGATTGACCGTAAAATATAAGTGTGGTGTCATCAGCATAGCACATAACCTTGCAATTAAGAATATTAATTTGACAGAGGTTATTTATATAGCACAAAACGAGAGTAGGGCCCAGAACACTGTCTTGAGGAATTGCACGTGTAATACTACAATCTTCACTCAAAATATCGTCAACTTTGTTGCACTGAGTGTGATTGCGTAAGTAGTTGCTAAGCAATTGGAGTTGGATACCTCTGATGCCTAATTTCTCTACAATTGCTAAAAGTTCGAGGAAAGAGACTGTATCAAACGCTTTTGCAAGATCAAAAAATATAGTTGAGATTTTAGAATGAGAATCTAGGTTTTTAGCCACGAAATCCACAAACAATTTAACAGCTTCTTTTGCAGATTTAAATTTTCTAAAAGCAAATTGAATTCAGACAGTAATTTATTTGTTTCTCAGTATTCTAAAAGTCTTTTATTTATAATTTTTTAAAGATTTTTGATAAAGTGGAGAGTATTGATATGGGGCGATAATTATTAATACAGTCTCTTTTCCCTCCCTTGAGGATAGGCAGTACAATTGATTTCTTAAAAGCGTCAGGAAATACACCGTCTTTCGAACACTGGTTAAAGAGTCTTGTTAGTGAGGGAACAATGTAATATTTTATAGCTTTAAGTGTTTTTGCCGAAATACCACCCTATCCAGGTCCAGACTCAGTTTTTAGATTAATTATCAAACGTTCAGTTTCATCCTCTGAAATATCCTGCATTACAAAAGAACTAGTACTAGATAAGAAACTTTTTACAACATTGGATGACAAATGTGAAACATTGTTAGGAATATTATTAGCTAATTTGGTACCAACAGTAGTGAAATAATTATTTCTATAATTTACTGACTGTTCTGGTGTATCTTTACTGTACTCTAGCTGTTCGGGTCAACAGCTCTTGCGGAATATGTTTGATTTTTTGATTGTTAGTCGCGTTTTGTATAGTTTTCAAAAGTTCTTTAAACTTGTTTCTATTTTTAGTTATTTCATTTTGACCATATATTATTTTTCCCTTCTTAATTAAATTACAAAAGTTCCTATATATTTTATATGTTTTCAATAAAATAAAATAAAATATATTAAATATTTCTTCAGATTCTTTAAATATTCTTCTAAAAATGTCTTCATCATTTGCTGATATTTCTCATTCTGATTCTCTGCATTTGGCCGATTACTGCAAAATAACCCTGTATATCGAAAGGTCATTGAATATCAAGTGATTAGTAACGTAACAAAGAGAGTAATTAGAAACGTATCTGCAATTTTAGAGCCAAACGATATATTGCAGGACGATGGCAAGAGGCCTGATGAAATGACGCACATTCCATGGAAAAATGGGCGCTCCTTAGTTTGAGCTGCAACTTGTGTTGACACATTAGCGCCATCACATCTTACGGTGACTGCACAGAAGGCAGCTGCGGCTGCTGCGGTTGCCGGGTCTAACAAAGACATAAATGTTTGTGTCGATTGGTGTAGAAAAGATGGGGCCTTGGGGTCCTAAAGCAGCACGTTTGTACAAAGATATCTCCTCACACCTTGTCAATGTCTCTGGTGACCCAAAAACTAGAAGATATTTTGGTCAGCGGATCAGCCTGGCAATACAGCGAGGCAACTCAGCCAGACTTCTGGGCACACTACCAACAGAGGGCGGCGAATTAGCAACTAATTTTGACTTTCATAATGTACAATTTTGTGATACACTGTTTTCTTTCAATTTTTTTATTATATTAGTTACAAATATTTATGTAACATAATAAACAAATTTGTATGTTGTATTTTATTTGTATTTAGTTTTTATGTTATACTGTTTATGTTAATGTTTGAATTGATTAATATAAAAATCTAACACTTGTCTAAGCAATATTTGAATTTATTCACGAATGACTTTTATACATAATATTCTATAAAAGTCATTCGTGAATATGAAATCCAAAATTAAATATGTTTTCTCGAGTTATACTGAAGTTCTGATTTGTAGGATTGGAGACGAGTATATTATATTTTTAAGTCGTATTTAAAGAGGTTCCCAGTTCAACAGTATACGCAATGTTTCAGTTGTGAACCGATTTAAAAGGTTATTCTAATGATATCTTTTTTTGTTAAATGAGCTACCACAGGAGTGGCCCCATTTAAATTTGTGAAGAAGAACATTCCATTCCTAAGAGTTGGAAAATAATGAGTGAACTTACTTACTTACTTATCTTCACGCACAATCCCTAACGGGGTAGCCAGAGAGAACAGATCGCCAAGTGTCACGATCCTTACATACCTCATTCGCTTCTTTCAGGTTCATTAACTTCTTCATACATGCACGTCTAGGTATCCGAGTACTCTTGACCTTCCCCTCTTCGAGCAATTTGCTCACATGGTCTTCGAAAGTTAGTCTCGGTCTACCTCGACACCTTTTAATATTTACTTTCGCTCTGTATATTTTCTTCACCATTCGGTCGTCACTCATTCGCTCAACGCGCTCAAACAATTGGAGTACGCCCCTATCAATTTTTGTGATAAGGTCATCTTTCAATCCTACTATATTGCGAATCTCTTCGTTTCGCTTTCGATCGGCTATGGTAACGCCACACATTTTACGAAGAGATCGCATCTCCACTGCATTCAACTTGCTTTTATGCTTCTTCTGGCATACCCAGGTTTCGCTGCCATATAACAAAGTCGGTACCAACACTGCGTTATGTATTGCAAGGCGTGCACTCTTCACCACACCTTGCCTTTTGACTAATGCATTCAGGGCACCATTGACTTTGTTTCCGGCAGCGACGCGCCTATCCACATCTAAATCACATCTTCCATCCCGGCTGAAAGCACTCCCCAAGTATACAATTTCATTTACCTGTTCTAGATATTCCTGATTTACCCATATTTCACATTTCGTTCTCTCTTCGTCCTTTTCAAATACCAGAACCTTAGTTTTATTAGCATTCAAACGGAGACCTTTAATTTCACATTCCTCTTTCATACACGTGACTAATGCCTGCAGTTCTGCTTCTGATGATGCAATAAGCACTGCATCATCAGCATACAGCAGACAATTTACTTTAATGTCACCCAATCTCACACCCAAACAGCTATTTTTCAGCTTCTGTAAACAGCTGTCGAGATACAGTATGAACAGCCAGGAAGACATGACACAACCCTGTTTTACGCCCGCTTGGACGCTTAACATGGGTGACAGGTCATGCCCTACCCACACACAGGCTTTACAGTCATAGTAAAGTGACTGCACAGCCCTTAGCAATCGACCATCCACACCATATCCCGGCAACAGTTCCCACATTTTCTTCCTTATAACCTTATCAAATTCTTTCTCCAGATCCACAAAAGCACAAAAAATCCTCTGGTTAACACTCAGAAGCTTTTCCGTGATCATGCGGAGAGAAAACATTTGATCCGTGCATCCTCTTCCAGGTCTAAATCCGCATTGTGCCTCCCATAAGAATCTTTCCGATTTCTCTTGCATCCTACGTGTCAAAACCTTCCAGTAAACTTTACTTGCTAAACTGGTCAAGCTGATCGCCCGATAGCACCCGCAGTCAAAATGTGAACCTTTACTTTTATATAAAGGCACAATGACCGCGGATCGCCAATCATCCGGGACATCTTCCGTCCGCCAGCACAAGTTGCACAGCAGACAAAAGCTATCCCAGACGCGAGGCCCACCGTACTTGAC